ACTACTACTAATAAACTTTATTTCTGTAGCTCCTTTCAAACCTTTGCTGTACAAACTATAAAACTAAACACAACATGACATAAAACATAAAAATAAAGACACGTGTGCAGATTATGGTGTCTAAAGTTCAGAGATGTAGACAAATAACAGAAAACATTAAAAATGCCTTTAACTACAACTCAAACAGTTCAAACCGTCATGAAGGGAGGACGTAGATCTTAAGTTGGACTCGTTGGTGAAGTTAATGAAACAGGAACTGGGTGTTTTCAGGCATCACTGGTGAAACTAAATAAAGAAGCTTTGACTTAAGGTGATAAGAATGCAGTTGTTATTTCTGCTTCAGCTTTGGGTGGTACGCTCCAGTCTTTATAAACAGAGAGACAGTGATGGTGTCTTATTTATCTATTAGTACACTTTAAAAAAAAACCAAAAAAACCCCCCTGAACAATATGGGTTTTTTTTTGCAGCACAGCAAAAATATACTGCTTCTTATATTTATGTATATTTAAAGGTTTTATGATTGATGACTGTATAATAATCAATTTTAAGCTCAGTTAATTTTTATAAAAGCTCATTTTGGTTCCATGTAAAGTGTTTATTTCTGAAAAAAAAGAGGGAGGTACAGTGAGGAACAATTCTTTTTAAGCTTTCTTAATCTTCTTTTTCCCTCTTAAATTTTTTTCTTGATGTTTGATTTCAAAATGTGAAGTTAAAGTCTGTTAGTGCTGTCACGACATCACATTATGATGCTCAAAAGAAGTCATGATAGAAAAATTTTCGCAATGTCTCTTGAAAATTGATTTTAAAAATTGCTAAATCCATCTTTGCTGACTGTGTGTTTTGTCTCTTTGGAGGCGGAGAAAGAGTCTGTAAGCATGAATTTACTGTATGTTGTCGGTCCAATATTGGAGTGTAACGAGACACTAACACTGGATTATTTAAGACACTATCTGTATAATGATATCAACAGTTTATTTTTTAAATATCATGATTATACGGTTATCTTATGTGTTCCTCTAACATGCTGCACTGTGGACAAGTCGTAGTCAAAAATGAGGAAGGTTTTCAGTAGCTATGGCAACACTGGTCTTGTTTTGGACCAGGAAGACAAAACAAAAAGTTAAAAATTCTGAATTTTGCAAGTGTGAAATGTTGTGTTCACTTGGATTTCATGACTCAGATGTTTCATCTCCATACAGCTGGACCATATCTTTTCAGTACCTGTGTGTGTCCACGCTGTCTTCGCTCTCGCTGCCTCTGCTCTGCAGGTATTTCTCTGTGATGCTGTGGAAGTTTTCAGACACTGATCCAAAGCAGACATCAGGCCTTAACAAGCCCAGCGAGGGTTCAGGGCAGCGGGAGGACTTCCTGCAGTATTTCGATCTGCCGGCTTCGTCCAGGTCGAGCCACTGCTGTACGAGCTGAGGAGGAAGCAGAGTCCAGTTTGGTTCGATGAGATCAGAGGTCAGCGGCCACCTGGTCCTGCACAGTCGTCAACAAAAGCCTACGTGCTCTTGTGCAGACCATGTACACGGTGGCAGCTTCCTACGAGTCTCACGGCTCTGAATTTTCTATGATGGTCTTTGCATTTTTGGCACAAAAAACTATCAGTTACGACAAATACTGACCATCCTGACCAGCTGTCTTTCAGCATCAGGTGATTGTTTGTGTTTTCTTCCTGATCGTGGCAGTGACACAACTGTACCATGAACTTTATGCAAACAAACAGTTGTTTGATCTGAAGCATCTCTGAAATGGCTCCAAGTTACTTTCTTGACTTGTTCAGGCCAGTGATTTGCTTTATCAGGACTTTGTTGAGCTCCTCAGACTTTCCCGCTGTGGTGTTTGTGGCTGAGTGTAATGGGTGGATCCAACAGGCCTTACATAAGGGCCTATTCATAGCTGGTGAGTCTGATAGGAGTCACCAGCTGTAGTCAACTGTAATCACTTACCAGACGTTATGAGACCAAGCCACAGCTTTCTATATCTCAAAACTGATCATTAAAGTAGCTGTGTGTGCTCTTTTGACCCAGCAGGTTGTTTTCATTTTTCTAGAAGAATGCATGATTGTTTTTTTGTGACAGAGATGCATGTGTTTCACGGATTCCAATGAAATTTTGGGTTGAAGAAATCCTTGGAAACTCAAGACGGTATATAGGATATACATGGTCTCTACAAGTGTGTGTGCTGAGGCTGGTAGGACAGTGTGTGGCAACAAAACTGACTCGACATTTTCATGCTGTTGTGCATAAATACCTGCAGTACCGCCGGATCTCTGGTGGCACCAGGCGGAGCTTCGAGTTCAAGCTGTTTTAGCTTTGCCAGCTTCTTCTGAGAAAACAGCAGGAACGCTCCTGACAGATCAAAACACGCAAATATTACGTTCACAAAGGAAATGCATTCAGTTCTGATCAAACTGATGAACTCCTACTGATCTAAAACAGCTTCAAGTGCTGGTTCACCTCCTAAAATATGACTGAAACGAGTTGTTAAATTAAATAAACACAGGTGTAGCCAACTTAAATTTACAGTAGATCAGAAGAACAAGACATACGGTGGTTTTACTGCCAAGTCAAGCTTTGCTATCTACCTCTCCGTGGACAGGCCACGTCTCTCTTTGTTTTCCAGCGCTGAATGGCTGCAAAGTGGTTGCTGGCAGTCTGAGGGTCCAAACGGGCCAAAATCTCATCCAGGCCCTGAGACCTTTTGATGACCTGGTAGGAGGAAACACACGGCTGGTTCTGTAAAACTGTTTAGGTCTGTATTGTAATCTGTGTTTTATCCAAACACTGGAGACGGAAGCAGTGTTTTCAGTAGGAACAGGCGACTCACATCAAAAACAAACAGTGTCGGAGTTTCGACAGTGAAATCATTGTGAACGGAGATGAAATTTACATCTTCACTTTCAGCAAAAATCCAAATACTGTTTCCACTGCAGAACCACAACACTTCCTTCTCCTGTGTCAAGTGGATATCTGCAGAAGGTTTTAACTGTTTGAATGAAATTACATTTGCGGCCATGGTATCTCCGTACACATGAAACTTATCTCATCACGTGAGCAGATAAAAAGGAGGCGACAGACCAGCATAACAAAGAAGACACAATCTACTGCCCCCAGGAAGTGGCTGGTGCACATACCACCACTGATACTGCACTGTGCTTGGGCATACCAGAAAAGCTGCGGTGCATTACTACTGTGCTTTTAGATGCGACAAAAGACGATAAGGAAGATTGAGAATGTGCTTTCTATTTGCAGTATCAGGCTGTTTAGAAGGTTTCCAGTTGGCCAACCTGTCTCTAAGATGTCACCAAAACAACAGAGGTAAATGTTTGTGTAGATTCTCAGTCATACGGGTCATGATAATTATAGCAGCTGCAGTAAAAAAGAAACTAGACTTCTCTCACATCCTAAAAGAAAAGTCTATTTTTT